GGTGGGGGGAGGGGGGAGAGGTAAAGGAAGAAGATGAATTGGAGGAGGCAGTGTCTGCTCAATGGTTAAAAAGGGTTTTGGTTTTTTCTTTTCTTTAATTTTTTTTTGTTAATTATAGTTGTCAAATTTCTTATTATAATATACATGTGTCATTCTTTAATTGGTTCATTTGACATGTCATTTGCGAGTGTAATTCACGCATATAGTTTGATGGACTCGGATGTTCATGAGATATACTTAATAGCCACTTGAAGTGTTAAAATGATAAACGGGTCAGTTGAGGTGTCTGTCTGATCATTGAGGACAACTTAAATGGGTCGTTTATGTATTTCGCCTAATTATTTTCATAACACTCCCCCTTGGATGTTCATTAAAAGGTATTGTGCCTCGTTACTAGGAAAAACCCAGTTGAAAAAATCCTAGTGAAGGAAAAAGAGTACACATATTTAGTAATACGCATTTCTAGCTGCCTCATTAAAAACCTTATAAGGAAAACCCTGCGGGAAAAAACCTTAGTAAGGAAAAAAGAGTACATCGCATATTTTACTCCCACTAATGAAAACCTTGTTTCAAATATTTGAGTCTCTGCATTCCAAGCTTGTATACCATCTTCTCAAAAGTTGAAGCTGGCAAAGATTTAGTGAATAAATCTGCCGGATTGTCACTTGAACGGATTTGTTGCACATCAATATCACCATTTTTCTGAAGATAGTGTGTGTAGAATAATTTTGGTGAAATGTGCTTCGTTCTATCTCCTTTTATAAATCCTCCCTTCAATTGGGCTATGCATGCAACATTGTCTTCGTATAAAATTGTGGGTCTTTTCTCACATTCCAAACCACATTTTTCTCCAATAAAATAAATTATTGATCTCAACCATACGCATTCCCTACTAGCTTCATGAATAGCTATTATTTCAGCATGATTTGAAGAAGTAACAACAATAGATTGCTTTGTGGAGCGCCATGATATGATAGTATCTCCACATATAAACACGTACCCGGTTTGAGATTTAGCTTTATGGGGATCAGAGAAATAACCTGCATCTGCATAACCAACAAGATCTGCACTATCTTTGTTAGCATAAAACAAACTCATATCAAGAGTTCCCTTTAAATATCGCAATATATGCTTAATCCCGTTCCAATGTCTCCGTGTAGGAGAAGAACTATATCTTGCTAGTAAATTAACAGAAAATGCTATGTCATGCCTTGTAACATTAGCAAGATACATTAGTGCACCAATTGCATTGAGATAGGGTACTTCGGGATCAAGGAGTTCTTCATCCTCTTCTGGAGGTCGGAAAAATCTTTATTCACTTCAAGTGATCGAACAACCATTGGTGTACTCAATATGTGCACTTTGTCCATGTAAAAGCGTTTTAAGACCCTTTCTGTATAGGCATATTGATGGATAAAGATCACGTCCTCTAAATGTTCAATTTGCAAACCAAGATAAAGTTTTGTCTTTCCATGATCTTCCATCTCAAATTCTTTCTTAAGATATTCAATTGCCTTTTGGAGCTCTTCTCGAGTTCCAACAAGATTTATGTCATCAAACATAAATAGCAAGTATAACAAAATTTGAAGCCATTTTCTTTATAAAAATACATGGACAAAGAACATCATTTATGTAACCCTCTTTCAGCAAATATTTACTGAGGCGATTATACCACATGCGCCCAGATTGCTTTAAACCGTATAAAGATTTTTTAAATTTGATTGAGTACATTTCCCGAGATTTTGAATATGCTTCAGGCATTTTAAATCCTTTAGGGATTTTCATGTAAATTTCATTATCAAGTGACCCGTACAGATAAGCTGTAACCACATCCATTAGATGTATTTCAAGCCCTTCACGTAAGGCTAAACTGATAAGATATCGAAATGTTATGGCATCCATAATGGGTGAATATGTTTCTTCATAATCGACTCCAGGTCGTTGTGAGAATCCTTGTGCAACAAGGCGAGCCTTGTATCTTTCAACTTCATTTTTATCATTCCTTTTTTCGTACAATAACCCATTTATGGCTTTATACCGGTAGGTGTTTGGACTAACTGGTCCAAAGGCCTCTCTTTTAGCAAATGACTTCAATTCCGATTGAATTGATTCTTGCCATTTTGGCCAATCAGATCTTTGTCGACATTCTTCGACAGATCGGGGTTCAAGATTCTCACTATCTTGCATAATGTTAAGTGCAACATTATATGCAAAAATATTATCCACCACTATTTCAGATCGATTTAAATTAATCCCATCACCAGTAGAACTTATTAAAAGTTCCTCGCTCACTTGAGTCTCGGGTTTATTGATTTCTTCAGGAATCTCATAACTAATCAGATCTTGGGTCTCTTCAGGAGATCCCTTCATAATATCATTTTGATCATTTGTCGATTTTCTTTTTCTAGGATTTCGATCCTTAGAACCCAAAAGGCATACCACGCTTCAGGCGTGCTTTAGGTTCACTAGCTCTCATGCTAGTAGATGGTCTTGCTGGGACATCAATTCGGATAGGCACATTCTCTGCAGGGATATGTGACTTAGTTATCCTTTTCAAATCAGTAAATGCGTCTGGCATTTGATTTGCTATATTCTGTAAATGGATGATCTTCTGGACCTCCTGATTACATATAGGGGTACGTGGATCAAAGTGAGATAATGATGAAACTTTTCACACAATTTCTCTTTTGATTTCCTTTTTCTCTCCCCCTAATTGTGGGAAATTTGTTTCATCAAATCGACAATCTGCAAATCGAGCAGTAAATAAATCTCCCGTCAATGGTTCAAGATAGCGAATAATAGAGGGTGATTCAAACCCAATATATATTCCTAACATTCTTTGGGGGCCCATCTTACTGTGATGTGGTTGTGCTACTGGCACATATACAACACATCCAAAAATTCGTAGATGGGCAATATTTGGTTCATGACCAAAAACTAATTGTGACGGAGAATATTTATTATAATGTGTTGGTCTGANTCCTAATTATGGGAAATTTATTTCATCAAATCGACAATCTGCAAATCGAGCAGTAAATCAATCTCCCGTCAATGATTCAAGATAGCGAATAATAGAGGGTGATTCAAACCCAATATATATTCCTAACATTCTTTGGGGGCCCATCTTACTGCGATGTGGTTGTGCTACTGGCACATATACAACACATCCAAAAATTCGTAGATGGGCAATATTTGGTTCATGACCAAAAACTAATTGTAACGGAGAATATTTATTATAATGTGTCGACCTGAGACGAATAAGTGATGCTGCATGCAAGATAGCATGTCCCCAAACAGTAGTGGGCAATTATGTTTTTATAAGTAGTGGTCTTGCTATCAATTGCAGGAGTTTAATAAATGACTCTTCAACGCCATTTTGAGTATGAACATAAGCTACAAGATGTTCAACTTTTATTCCAGCTGATAGACAGTAATCATCAAAAGATTGAGATGAGAATTCTCCAGCATTATCAAGGCGAATAGCCTTTATAGGATAATCTGGGAATTGTGCCCTTAATCGAATTATTTGGGCTAATAACTTTGCAAACGCCAGGTTGCGAGATGATAATAGGCACACATGAGACCATCTTGAAGATGCATCTAT